CTTCGAAAAATGTCTTACTTAAATTTTAGTTTTTAAAATCTAGTCCTTCTATATGATTTTGGGAGTTGCTTGCAGTAAGTATTGTTATTTTATAACTTTTGGTTAAAAGTATATTATTAGTAAAACATCTAAGATAATATGTAAATCTTTAAAATTAATTAATTGTGGATTTTTATAATGCTGCTATATTTTGGAACCAAACATTAAGAGATTAAGAAAAATATTTAATTAGGACTATGGGCCATATGGCCCCCCCACCTCGACCTTTTCAGATCTATTGTGGATATCCTTTAATCATTATTTAGAGTACTTGTCTAATTCGGTCTATTGTAGTAGACTCCATAGACTGGGAAGTAGTTCTCCGGTATAGCTAGTTGCCCTTGGTTTTTCTTCTCCAAGTGTAAGGAATCTCAGTCTTACTAGACCTTCGCAGTAGCACAATACGTGTTCTGCCGTTTCTTCTTCTTCTTGACAGAATCGGCACAAGGCCTCTTCTGTCAAACCGATATTGAACATATGTTTGTTAAGCCTACAATGCCCTCTTAATAGACCTACTAGTATTCTAGTATTTTTCCTATTAAGGCTTAGTAGATGCTCGGTGAGTTTAGACGATGTTCTTTTTAAGACCTTTTTGGCCTGTCTCTGTCCTGGTGAGTTTTTTCACCACTCCTGAGATTTTTTAAACATTCACTGCTTTGTGCATGTTCTGATAGTTGTTTTTGTTACACCACAGAAGGGTTCTGAGCCAATAAGAGCATTTGAGGCTCCTTCTCGGGCTAGTAAATCAGCCTCTTCATTGCCCTTGTATCCCCTGTGGCCTGGTACCCAGGCTAAGGTTAGTCTGTTTTGGCTACCCAGCTCTGTTAGGGCTTCCAAACAGTCCCAAACAAGCTTTGAGTGTACCTGCATGGAACTGAGTGCTTTTAACGTCGCTTGACTGTCTGAGTATATGACAATGGTTTTTCCATTTACCTTCTGTCTTAATACTTCTTTTGCGGAGTGATGTATTGCTGCTATTTCTGCCTGGAATACTGTCGCATGTTTACCTAAGCTCAGTGAGATTCCTGTCTTTGGCTTGGTACTATATATACCTACTCCTAAACCTTCATGGGTTTTGGAGCCGTCTGTATACCAGGTGAGATCTGCATGAATAGGAGGTCCTCCCGTCTACGCTTCCCTGTCTGGTATACTTACTTTATATTGCTTTTGAAAGCTATACTTTGGAAGCATTTCGTCTGAAGGCATTCCCATTATTTGGTCGTTCTCCAACTCTTTATATACCTCGCTGTAGTCGCGTTCATGAAAACTGCTTATAAGCGATGAACCTTTGTTTAGTCTGTATGTGACAGACCTGGCTTCGCCTTGAATGAATATATGTAGTGGTGTTAGGTTTAGCATGACTTCTATAGCTGCTGTTGGAGTCGTTCTCATAGCTCCCGTGGTACTCAGGCATACTTGCCTTTGAATACCATTGAGCTATCGAATGGCTCCAGCTTGCCGAGTCTTTGGCCACCATACCACCGACCCGTAGGTTATCATCGGCCTTATGACTCTGATATAGAACAACAGGGACATTTTTGGTTGTAATCCCCAATTTTTTTTACACAACCTTCGACATAAGTTGAAGGACGTTGTGCTCTTTTGGGTGACTTTTTGCAAGTGTTGATTCCATGTTAACCTGTGGTCAAAGATGACTCCCAAGTATTTGGCCTCTTGAGCGAATGGAATCTTCACTTATTTTAGTACTGGTGACTTTAGTCCTGTTGGTACTTTTCGTTTTGTAAAGTTGACTATTGTGGTTTTGTGAGGGTTTACTGTTAGTTCCTCCTCTCTGCACCACTCGTCGACAATGTTTAGAGCGGTTTGTGTGCGCTCCGATATTATACCTGCGAACTTGCCTCTTACGACGATCGCCAGGTCATCGGCATGCCCTAGGCAGTAAAAATCTGCAGATATTAGCCTTTTTAAAAAACTGACTAGAGGAGGGGTGATAGTACTCCTCCCTGGGGGCAGCCCCTACCTGCTTTAGCTATCAGTGTAGCTTCGCCTAGAGGTGATGTTATTTCCCTTTATTCTAGGCTGGCTTTTATCCACTGTCATAGGACTACTGGTACCCCTTTTATTGCTAATGCGTTAATTATAGATCTTGTTTAAGCATTACTAAAAGCTCCCTCAATATCTACGAAAGTTGCTACTGCCATTTCTTTATCCTCCAGGGATTTTGAATAATAGCCTGTTAAGATCATTCAGGGCCAAATCGGTTGACTTTCCTGGCTGATATACATATTGACGGTCGCTGAGAGGATTTTCTCTCAGTATTTCGTCTCTTATATATCAATCTATTATTTTTTCTAGCGTTTTCAGCTTGAATGACGATAGACTGATTGGGCGGTACGACTTTGGCGTCATGTCATTAAACCTTCCTACTTTAGGGAGGTATATGACTTTCAACTTTTGCCACGCCTTTGGTATATGTCGTCAGGCTATACATGCTTTAAATATGCGACACATATGTGGAATTAAAATTTCCTGTCCCTTTTGTAGTAGAATGGGATATATTCCATCTACTCCTGGGGATTTGTATGATTGAAATGTGTTTGTAGCCCATCTAATTTTGTTCGGCCTCGATATTTCTGTAGCTAGCCTCCATTCCAAAAGAGTTGGCCTACGAGACCTTCTTTGAGGGCTGTATGCTACTATTGGGTCTAGCAAAATTTCTGCGGCCGGAAAGTGTACTTATGTAAGCATTGTTAACGTTTCCTCGAAGGTTTACGTATAGGTTTCGTCATCTTTCCTGAGAAATCCTACTTGGTTTGCAGCACCCTCTTAAGCTAAGACTTTTTGGATTCTAGAGCATGTGGGTATTTCAGATAACTCCTCACAGAATTTCCTCCACGATTGCCTTTTAGCCTTTCTTATCTCCTTGTTGTACTGCGTGAGTTTAGCATTGTATAGGACTCAGTCTTCGGTTGACTTGGCTTTATTAAACCAAACATACACCAATCCGATGTAGTTTCTTAATATAATGTGTGATTTTAAAAATGTAAGATAAAATTTATATTCTGTTTCAACATGAGTTATTTATTATTAAAACAAAACAAACCGAATTTAAAACTTGATAGTTTAAACATTTTTTAATGTTTAAATTGTGTTGTTGCTTGGATCTGAAACAAGAAAAGTAAATAAGAAACTTGAAGAGTAGTATGGTAACGAACAGACTTATCTTGGCCTCGGTACCAGGCTACAGAAGACACAAGGGAAATAAGCATGAGAAAGGGCCTCAAAGACTCTTTTTGTTTAAAAACAGTAATCAGGGCAGAGACAGAACCATCGTCAAAGCTTACCGAGCATCTGCTGAGCCAAAATAGAAAAAATACTAAAGTAGTTGGGCCGATTTTGTCAGAAAGAAGAGAAAACTGCAGTACCTTTGCGAAAGTCTATGCAGACTTAAAGAAGACAAACTAAGGATAATTACCTAAAAAGGGAGATTTGGGAATGTACATGGTATTACCTCATCCTTTAATTTCAGCTCTCTCCTTTTGCTTATAGTATTATTAGTAAAAATAGTCTCATAATATTTGATAATATCTTCTAAAAAGTATAGAACAGCATCATCTCTAGAAAACATTTAAAAATATTTAAAATGACACAATTGGGGTCCAAATGAAAAATAACAGTAGCAACTCTTTATCTAACATTAAAACTCTATAAAAAATAAAGTTTCTTTTCTAGTAGGCTAAATTTAATGCATAATTATTGTTGTTTGTAAGTCAGCATCTATGACTGTAATATTTTATATTATAGAAACTTGTAATAAAATAAAATACACTTCGTAAGATACATATTGTGACTAGTTTACAATAAATATTATATTTAGACTAGGAATACATTATTTTACTTACATTAGAAGCCTTAATTTCTTATTATTAATTAAGCTTCCAAATGGCCATCACCACCCACATCGATGAATAATGACAACAAAATTATCTAACGTCATATAATTTTTTAGCAAAAAATTTATGTTAAGTACATAAATATAAAATATTGAAATACAATCCATATGGGTGATTTTCTATAAATTATATTTCCTTAAGAAGTAACTTTTACCATTGGAAATTTTTATATCTGCACCTTATATAGGAAAAAGTTAAGAGTTTTTGTACAAGGAAATACACACCTGGTGTAACTTAATACATATAGATCGAGACGGTCTGTCGGCTGACGGATTAAGATTTGCAGTAAAAAGGTCAGTTCTATGAAAGTTTTGATGTGATTAAATTGTACTTTTGGCCTGCCTATTTTATCCAAAACCTTTGACGTAATTCATATATTATTAGGACTCTGAAACTCAGTATGATGCTGACGGGTGAAGATTCAAACTAGAGAGCTCATAAATATCTAAAATTATAAGCAAAATCGAGAATGTAATTGTTTATTCAAGTTTAGAAATAGTGATTTTAGTAATAGTCCAGGGCATTTAGATCAAAATCGACCGGAATAGCGGAAATTTTTAGGAACAACAGATATCGAGATGCGGTTTTCTGCATTGTGTTCAGAAAGGTTCCAGGTAAAAAGTCCATATCGTCTGGTTTAGCCACTTTTTAAATGGGGAAATGGCAGCGTCCATGAAAATCATTCCAAAATCGATACTTGGGGGTTTTCGGGGATACCGAATTCAATTTTGGCATTAGATTTCCCCAGGGGCGCTCAAGGGTCCCTATGTGGGGTTGTCTGTGGGTAATTGGGGGAAATGGCAGCGTCCATGAAAATCGCTCCATAATCGTAACTCGGGGGGTTTTCGGGGATGCTGAATTCAGTTCTGGTACTAGAATTACCCAGGGTTATGAATAATAAAAATTTTGATTGAATATTAAATAAATATTACACATATAAAAAGAAAGGTAAAGTAAAATTCTGCGATTTGTTTGAGAAATCCGATGATTTACATGGGTTTGCAGAAATATTTAAGCAAACACATGTATCCATGGATAATTTTTTAGGTCATGGGCTTCGTCTAGCTTTGGCTCTTTACGGGGCACCCAAAGATGTGCGCATGAGCGATAAACCTGCAATTGAGCTCGTCCAAAGCTATCGAGCAAAAATGTATGCTGAAGCCACCAATTCTAAAAAAGTCGATCTTGCACACATAATCCCGACTGCCAATGCGTTAACCGAGCATATCAAGCGTGTCTATTTCCAACTACAGGCTTGGTATGGTTCACAAGGCCAAGACGTGACCTTAGATCCGTTGGAATGGGAATTGATGGATGAAGAGCTCAGTCCTGTCACCATGACCCAGGAAGCCGGCCCCGAAGAAATTTTAAGCAACATTTCTTGTTATTGTGAAACCCACTGTGGCACAAGGTGCGGGTCTACTTCGGGTTGGAGTGCTCACGTGCATGCAAGTATTGCGATAGCAATTGCTCAAACCAAAAAGGCACTTCTAACGGAGTCAAGAATAGTGACGAGGAAGAAGATGAAGAAGGGGAATAAGATAAAGAAGGAGAAGAAGATGAAGAAGGAGAAGAAGATGAAGAAGGAGAAGAAGATGAAGAAGAAGAAAAAGAAGAAGAATAAGAAGAAGAAGAAGAAGAAGAAGAAGAAGAAGAAGAAGAAGAAGAAGAAGAAGAAGAAGAAGAAGAAGAAGAAAAATAAGAAGAAAAAGAAGAAGAAAAAGAAGAAGAAGAAGAAGACGAAGAAGAAAAAGAAGAAGAAGAAGAAGAACAAGAAGAAACAAAAGTAACAGAAGAAGAAGAAGAAGAAGACAAAGAAGAAGAAGAGTTTGAACAAGATGTTTAGTATTTAAGTTAAAAATTTAAGTTTATAATGAATAATTCATCTTTAATAAAAACTCTTATTTGTTATTTAAATAAAGCATTACTTTCATAATTTGTGATTTTTCACTTTCTCCTTCACCATTTCCTACAGAGCCACCCCCGAACGCCCCCAGGGAAGCCTAATGCCAGAATTGAATTCGCTATCCCCGAAAATCCCCGAGTAATGAGTATGGAGCGATTTTCATGCACGCTGCAATTTTTCCCTTAATTCACCCCCCGCGTACCCCCACAGAGCCACTCCCGTACACCCCGGGTAATTCTAATGCCAGAATCGAGTTACCCCAGAGTAACGATTTCCAAGCGATTTTTCCTAGTTTCAAGTCGTTCCTATAATGGCGTAAGTAATGATGCAATTGGAAAATGCATTTTCCGGCCCAGAAGGCATTTTTCAAAAAATGGCTAGACCAGACGATATAGACTTTTTTCCTGAGACCTTCCTGAACACAGTGCAGAAAAACGCATCTCGATATCTGCTGTCCCTAAAAATTTTCGCTATTTTTCCGAACTTCCCTGGACTATAAGTAGATAACGAGAAAAAAGTGAATTAAGTAGGAGGTACCGTAAGCATGTAAAGATGGGTATATTTGAAATTTCTAATATTTTGAAGCAAACACTTTGGCAAATAAAATTAGTAGGTCGATTGGTTTCAACTACCTTATGAAGGAACCTATATATTAGAATATGAAATAAATAGTTATTTAATAAAGAATCCTCAAACACTCAATATTAAAGGAATATATAATATTCAGAAATAATTTAACAATATAAAATGCTTGTAGTATATTTAGATAGTATTAGTTAATAGTTTAGTAGTTTGTATAATGTAAGAATGAGGAAAGAAAGTAAAGATATAATGAATAATTAGAAATTAACAATTTAGATTAAAAAAGGGAAAATAAAATCTATTTGATATAACATAATGGTAAAATACTACTCGTAAGTATTTTTTCAAGGCTGGTTTTAACATGATGCTGCCCGGCATTGTCTAAATTATGATTTACTCTCGTGTACCTCAACAAACCATTAAAAGCCACTTTATTTCTCTTCTCTTCTGAGAGCTTATCAAACGGACCCAACGTCTCAGTATTACTGATTCGGAACTAGCTTCTGAGAAGGTTATACTAAAATTGAATAAATATTATATATCCAAAATTATATAAATATTTTCTTAGTAGTTTCGGACTGTAATGATAGGGGCGATGAGTTCATAAATTTAATGTTTTACCTTTTAGTGTTGATTTAATTATTTTAATAATAAAAAAAATAAAATAGAAAAAGTTAATAAATAAATTAAAGGTTTACTCAAACTTACCGGATAGGAGGGAAGGGCAATCGTCTTCCTTATGTCCTGGGGATGAAACTTTCCTTGAAGTCGCGCAATGCGTATTAACAATGCGTATTAACAGGTTCACAAAATCTGTCGGTCCGGATCAATTTTAAACTGTATAGTCTACAATTTAACGCGACCGCTGTCGTTTTCGTTCTGTATCGCAGTTCGACAGACTTCGAAATCGGTGAAGGACAAAAAAAAGGGTCCAAAGTATAGAATTAGGACGGTTGACTATTGGAATAAAGGGAAATGAAAAAATATGAATCAAGTAAACCTTTATCGTAATTAAATATAAAAATTTTGAAATATTAAATATTAACAAACGCAAAGCGGTCATAAACAAAATTTAAATAATATATGCCCAAATAAAAATAAATATATATGTATATAAAAATAATAGAAAACAAAATATATAAATGTACAGGAACAGAACAATTACCATCTGGTGAGCCGTGAAATAATAATGCTTCTTAAAGTTGATGATAAGTATATTACCGACATTGGGGTCTATTCTGTAACAATTCCTTAATATTTAACGGCCTTTAAAAATATTGGCGGCCTAGAAAAATATGTTCGTATTCGTTAATTTACTTCTATCATTATTTAAACAGATTTCTTTAAGATAGTCTTCTAATGTATTTTAAAGATCCGTTTAAATAGTGACCGAATTAAAGAAGAAAATATTTTTAAAGGCCGTTAAATATAAATGAATTTTTACAGAATAGACCCCATTGCCTGTAAAACGTACCTCGAGTATGAAATTAAATAGTTTATATGCAGTAGTATAACTGCTATAGCTTAACAAACTGTGAGTTAATTTGAACTTCAGACAGATCACATTATCAAACTCCGTCAAAGTTTATCAGACTCATAAATTTTAATGAACGTTTTTGCAACTGGTTGTTAAACTTTCTAATTCTACTGATTGCATAGTACGATTTGTTTCATTTTTTACTAATTGCGTCTATGTAATTTCTTAATTTTATGTACATGTACAAGGCCAGAAACTTTCTATTTTATATGTATTTTATGTCATGCTGGTATGAACTGGTTTTTGGTTAATTTATTATTTAACCAATTTGAAAATATAATAACTATAATATTAATGACAAAAGTGATCAGCAGATAGGCCAAGAGTTGGGAAATATTTTTAAAATTGTTGTTTAAGACTGCGATTACCACAATAATGGCGGCAAAATAATTCATTCAATTACCGCCGAGACTGTTTTTGATAAAAGTTGAACGAATTTTTAAATATTTAATAGAGCTCTAAATAAATGACAGTTTGAGCCTTACTATAAACAATTGCCATCGTAATACAATGCTAAATAACTGGTTAAAACACTAATTTGTTTTTTTGAATGGCATTTAATTTCATTTTTGAAACTAAACTACTACATCGTGTTTAAATAGTATTGTCAGAAAATATTAGAATCGGTCATTTGAAAAACAACACATGTCATATTTTTGATTTGGTAAAGGGGCGGTGCTGTATCTTCCTAAAACCCTAATATAATCGCTGGGATTTGTGGGTTTGCTGCATCGGAATATAAGTTCTTTAAAGTTGGCACGAAATTATTTTGTAATAATGCAATATAATTATCGCTATTCAAATTTTTTCAATGTAAAAAGGACTTATGATATGATCGCCAACAATTCCTGCTTAAAAATTAACCTTTTCATGGTATTGCGTATGTTCTTCTCCCAATGTTAATTTTTGCAGGGTTTTGAATTTAAAATAGAAAAATGATATTGGTTACTGTTAAATGACGCACCCAGTATAAATAGTTTTGTAAAAAAATGCGCAATTAAAAATACCAATCGAGGTGTCCGAGCGTTTTGTCTCGAACACGCCCCCAATTATTTATTACCGAATTTATTCCGTTTGGCTGTTCCACACTGTACATAAATTCCGAAAACGTCTTTTGATGGACCTACCTCTAATCCCGGAATTTTTGAGATAAGCTCCTTCGTCATGTTAGCGATGAATTAATATTGCCAAATATTAAAGTTCGAATTCCTTGTGCCAAAATATGAAAAAACATTCTATATAGGTTGGATAACACATCGTTTCCAAGATACAGGATATTAAAGTTTCGTTAAAAAATATTTTTATATTCCTATATCTAAATAACGATGTAGCAAATTTCAATTACATTTTTAAAATTTGTTTATAATTTAATAAGGTATGTTTAAAACCTTTTACAGTTGATTCAGTAATTGTAACCGCGCGCACGAAAAAATTGATTCCAGTAGATTTCTGATTTTTATAATATAGAAAAGAATCGAGAGGTAAAGTTCCGAGAAACTATCGGTTTTTGATTCGAAAACGACATAATTCAATTGAGGGGTGCTGGCTTAGTCGTTAGAGTAATGACTTTGAGGTCAAAGGTTCTCAGGTTCGAATCCCGCCGGTGAAAGGATTTGTAAATAATTTTAAAACGTAAAGTGCCACATAGAAATAAAAATAAAACAAAAAATAACAATTACTGTGGTAAACTTAGATCACTGCTGTGGTTGTGATGGTCATGTCAAACCGCGATCACTTGTTCGTTCGTCTAACTGGTTTTCAAGCTTTTGCTTTTTTGTACCACTGCTTGTTTGTGCTGTTTAGTTTAAAAATAAGCAGCGACTAGATGTGATGATCGATGATTGTTTTGTTTGTTGATATTCCACGAAAGTCACATGTGTGCTTACTTATTACTTTAGTTCGTGTGTTTCTGTTAATCATATTAATAACGTATTTACCGAAAAGTTTGGCGGAAATTGGACAAAAATGTCATACGAAAAAGAAGCTGAGAGACTTCAACAGTTACGGGATAAAGTACTTTCTGAAGACTCAGCTTGTGATTTTTCCCCAGATGTGTCTGAATATGAACCTGATGAACAGGGTGACTCGAGTTCAGTTAGTTCAGATAACTCCAAAACACCCAAACCACGTCAGAAAATATTTGGAAAAAAGCAATAAGAACCCTTTCATAGAGTTATCGATTTTGAGAAGCCGTCCACAAGTGGTCAGCAATAAGTAGTCCAAATTAATAATGTAGAAACGGATGCAGATACTATTGAGAGAACTATTGAACAAATTATTGCTAACAGTGCAGTTTTTATCGAGTCCGAATCTGAAGCTGAAGATGAACCTGTCGATAATGAAGTACCAACACTTATCTGGAAACCTGTTATTAGAGAACATTTAAAAATCTTTTTATTTTCTAAAGATAATTTAGGAACCTCTAACTTTGTATATGATTATCAAAAAGTCCCTATGATTTCTTTAAACTTTTATTTACAGGCGAAATATTTAAACTATTTGTTACTGAAACTAATAGGTATGCTTTGAAATAAAAAGCAAAAGGAGGACACTGATCACGCTTCCAAAATTGGAAAGATAGTACCAAAGACGAATTGGAAAAAATTGTACAAATTTTTAATGTGGATGGGCCTAGTGGGTGGCACAAAATTGATCGAAAACATTTGATCGAATACATTTGATCAAAAACATTTGATCGAATGCATTTGATTAAAAAAACATTTTATCGAATACCAATTGATTGAAAAGAAAAATGATTGAACCGA